GGGGGAAGGCAGCATCGCTGCTTCCATAAATATGAACATGCTGGTCGCCTGGGGGAAACACCTTACTGCCTTCGCACTCCTGTCGCAGAGGACAGTATGACTTTACCCCCAGACCGCCTCGTAGCACGATTACTCGTAGTACGGGTTCTCGCTGCTCTTGATCTGGCTGCTCCCCTTTGGCCTTCCTGGCATTGTTACACCTTGTGGAACGAAGTTCCAGCCAGTGTAGCCCGCGGGATCATTGCAGCACTGAAGCCCGACCACCAGGTCAAGGTGGTAGCTTTAGGTCGGGGGCCTTGTAATTTGGTCGGAAACATTGCGTGAAATTGCAGCTACTGAATGTCATTGGCGTTTGTGCCGTCAGTTTCTTTCCACATTGTCTGATTGAACGTTTATAGGTATAAGCACCTTTGAATGCTTGCTTTAGGTCAGTGCCAGGTCACCCGTCAGTTTCTTTCCACATTGTCTGATTGAACGTTTATAGGTATAAGCACCTTTGAATGCTTGCTTCAGTGCCGTGCCAGGTCACCTCCCTCACCTACTCTTTTGTCTTATTTTCACTCCAATGCATTGAATATAATTGGACGAACTTTATGGTTGTGCAGCAGATAAACATTATTTTCAGCACTGATGTTGCTGTCTCTAATAATGATTCCCTTACTATGGATTACCTGAGTCCATAAGTTTGTTTGAAAACAGCAACAGGGCCAGGCACTTGAGATTATTCGACCAAGCAGACTGCTCAGTCCTTACATTGGGTATGCATCCACACTAGTTATAGCACGGTGGCTCGCCTCCGTAATATTCGATTCTGTCTAAGGGCAGGATTTATATTTCTCCTGGGCACGTCTCCGGAAACCTCGAAGAACTTTCGCGACGTTTTTCCTTTTAAGATGCTTTTGGTGGTTTCATCCTGGGACGCTTTTGTCCAAAAGCGTGTTTCAAGTATTAAGGACTATTCTGTTCTATTTGTTGTATTATTTCGATCACCTTCTAGTGGGTGACACCAACTCAACAAGTGTCGCGGGTTCTGATTGTTCACTGTCGGCTGCGAGATATTTGTGCATTACAACTTTCTTAACTATGGAATTTTGTGAGGGTCGATTTGCGTGACACCCCAAGTGTTTTTGTCATTTTGGGATTAGACTGTACGCAGCCAGTAACAATCGACAAGGTGGCAAACGATATGTACAAGGTTACCAAACAAAATCCCGATTGTAGTTGGTGGACACAGTTTACTACATCCAACTAAATCCCCTGGATTGTCCCAACACCCTCGCCTTTTGTGCTCACTTATGTGCTGGAACACTAGTCTTTCCACGGCTGCCGAAGTATTGTATTGAGGTGGGGTCATCCTTTCATGGAAATAATTATTTGTAGGCATAGATGGGAACTGAGTACCAAACGAGGACCCAAGAGGGACGGGCTGTCCCACGGGAGTACCGCAGTTCCATCAGTCACCAATATTATTTCCCTGATCCATACCTCTACGCACTGCAGTAACCTGGCCTCGGGGCTAGCAGAAGACATCAAGGAGCTTTTCGCATTTGACCATCTCTCTATAACTGATTCTGGTGATGATGACGATGATGACTATCACCCTCACGACACCCATACAAACACATTTTCAACCGAGCCCTAGCTCTATACAGATCCCATGCTTATTGAGGTTTGCCAGTTCTTCATACATTCGTTTCCCGTGCCAGTTTATTGTGTATGTCGTTAAAAAGTGCAGACCTCGAACACGAATAAATTTTATCTCGATTTGTTGAGGTTTTTAGCTAGGCGTTAATGCTTTTTCTCGCAGCCCAGCTGTCATCCCTCATCTAACAAGGCTGTATATATCTCTTCAGTTGGTATTACTAATCGCAGGTCCTGCTTTTATACCGTTTTCCATTCTCTTGTGTGTCTTACTGCAAATTACGCATTCAACAACATAATAACGAACGTTCAACTGTAACATCCTTTCGGTGCCTATCTGCTATGCCACTTAAAGGAGGCTCGCTGGCGAGATGACTCAGTGGTTAGGGCGCGAATTTACTGATCGGAGGACCTGTGGTTCGAGCCCGACCCCGGCATCTCAACTACTCCTGTCTAGGCTTGAATAACGTGGCAATATTCCAGCCCTCATGCTTCCTTTGGGTGGCATGGTAGCTAGGCACCGAAAGAGGGTTACAGCTGAACGATTATCATTTATTATAAAAGGAGCTCGATGGCCGAGATCTCGCCAGATTCCCCAAGATGCTGAAACTAGGTTCGAAACGCGGAGCTTCCAGTATGTTGTCGCCCTAACCACTGAACTACCTTGAGCGCCTTCTGAGTATTTACATCATCCTCTTAATTTTTTTAAAAATCGTCATAGAATTAGAAGTTGACGTATCGGCGCCTCGCGCAATGAACACCCTTTTCTTCCTTTGATGAATCATTCTTAGGGTCCTCCTTTGTGACAGTTGTCACATCTTTCTGTTGATGAAAAAGACGATACAGTTTCAGAAGAGCTTGGTAAACAATCAGTACTTTTTATGTGGGAAACGTTTTGCTTTTGACACAAAAGCTTCATCAGGCCAAGACGACAGTCTTGAAAACGCTGTATTGCCTGTCTGTGTAGCTTGACCAGTATCTCCAGAACAGCACTCATCCTTAGGTGAGCATTGCCTATATGCTCACTTTTCGCTATTTTCCTCATTGCCTGATTAGTCGGCTAGTGAGGAATGTCCTCTAATTTGAGCTCCTGAATGCACTTCCTTGTTCTCCTCACAACTTGTATCTACTATTCAACCAGTCCTCCCTGGATCAGCTGGCCTCATACTATTTAGTCATCTTTGTTCATCGAAACTTAGTGCCGGAACTTCCACTCTGTAAGTGCATGTAATTTTTTTATGCTTCTTGTAAGCTGAGCTGCTTGATCGCCATACTTCCGTCATTTTCATTCCCGCGCAAATTAGTTGCTGGTCGTCGGTTGCGGTCAATGATGCTAAGGCTAGGCCTCCATCCATCTCGGTTGAAAAGCCCACCCTCTTGCATAGTCTGTTTTGTTACCTTACCACCCGTCGATGATCCCGATGCGGCTTGACGGCTCCATTGTGTTTCGTATTATTTTAGCTGAGCGACTGGTCACAAGATGTGTGACGTTATGCCCACAATAGCGGAGGATGGGAATTCCAGTCATGGCGATCGCGATTCAGAGGCCAGTGGGGAGGGTACCAATGTGGAGGATATGCTACTTAGTATTTTGGACGAGCGGGATCGGTTAATGGAAAATTTGCATGACGCTCAAGATCAGCTGATCTACACACAAAATCGACTGACGGAAATAGAACGGGAACGGGATGCATTGAACAGACAACTTTCGGAAAAATTGCCCGAAGTGAGTGGCAGTTTGTGTTCGACCCAGTTGTGCATGTATTCATCCATAGGTTTTGTTGCATCGTTCATCTGGTCTGGTTCCAGTCATTTTAGAAAGAATTATTTTGGTGATAACCAAACAGGAATTTTTGACAGTCAGGTGCTTCCTCCAATCATAAAACGTTTCAACGGTATGCTGATTCTCAGAATGTCTTCCGTTCTCTCTGACTTTTCGATTGTGCACTCGTCTAATTCTGATGTCTATCGGTCCTCGAACTCACATGGTTGCATGGTTGAGACGAGCTGGTGGTTGTTTTGCACACAAACAAACAAACAGTGAGATGTTATTGGCTTCCGTATTCAGCTGTTATATCGAACTACACCGATGTAACCGGCGTGTATGCCGGTTACCGCTGGTAACTTGATGAAGTGAGGTCGGAGAGTAAATAAGAGATGGTTCTAAAAACTATGTGGATGCTCAACTGGTAGCAGCAACTAGACACTCGAAACTGTGTATGCAGGTGTGCCACTCTCCCTCTCCCACTCATAAGCCCCACCTGTGACTAATCATTTTGATCTGTGCAAAATTCACAGTAATTTCCAGCACCGTTGTGGGCTTAAAATTCCGCATTTTGAGTGTTAAAGCAGATCGTTTTCAGACCCGAATGGCCGTATAAGGTCTATTTTGGGTAGACTAATGACCTGCATTACTAACGAATCGAGCTCAGATCACACCTGCATTGCGTTCTTTAGTCAGAAATGCTTAAACTTGTTTTGATCCATTGGCTTATGATCGTGGAGAGTCGTTTCTAGTACCACCGCATGACTAACCCACCAATGTGTTGGAGCTTGGAGGTCCGTGTGAAGAAAACAAGAAAGTTGTGGTCTGTCGGCCTCAAGTGTTCCAGCCGACTTCCTATTTCGGAGGTCAAGGCCAGATCACACCCTTATGAAGTACAGTCGTTTGGTCCATTTTAATCAGGAAGGTGATGGGCAGAGAAGTCAGATTTAACACCGCGACAAGGTTACTTGTTCGACTCTCTCTCCCTCTCTCTTATTAATTCGCCTTATCAGCCAACGGATCCTAGTGCTTGTGGATGGTCAATGTATCCAAGACAACTCACGCAAATGCAAATCCAGCTGGTTCTCTCGCCAGACCCAATCGCTACCACGAGACTGTAACACCCCTCACGCCTCAGTTCTCCGACTCTAGGTTTTATTTCGCTTTCATTGTTGCTAGCTTTTAAACTCTCAGTAGCTGCGTCCAGTCATCGCTGCACTGTCCACTAACATTCTGGTTTTGTGATTCAATTTTCCATGTAACAGTTGCTTCGATATCCACTTGACATTCTTCGAACCATTACGAGCAGCTGTGTAGGACTCAAGCTTATATCCCGCGCATCTGGCCTCCCTGCAACCTCTGTCTAACATTCGCAGTCCAGCTGATAAACTTTGTGGTTATGCGGAAACGATGTATCACTGCCAACGTTGCTGTCTCTGCTATATGATACCCAGTCTCCTCCTGTAGTACTATAGTACTATGGTTACGGTCACGTAACGTCTGCAAGTCCATCTTAGGGACAACAACGCAAGACTTGGACTGGTTCCATAAGTTTCTGGCTCAGACACATTTTGGTGCAGTTGGGGGAGAAAACTGACGCGATTTTCTTTTTCTTCTTAGTGGTAGATGCAATAAAACTATTCATAACCAACCTGAACGTGTACTAGATCGTGACTGAGGGAGAATGCTGTTCCAAATCGTTCAGTAGGGCGATTTCTCTTCCCCTGTTATTTTTGTGAAGTAAACGGCCAGTCCCCCTTCCTCACTTTTCCATGATACCATGATGATTTTGTATACACCTGCAAAGTAATTTTGTGTTGAGCTCATCGAGCAAGTGTATATTCGAGTTTCATATGCCATAAAGAGAGAAGGTAAAAGGGTGCTGTAATATGCAAATCAGTACTGACAGCCTTGTATTACTAACGCGCATTTACTCCGGTTGCTGCATCATTCGCTTCTCTTCCTTGTCAACATTAAATGCGTTTTGGTCATGCTTGTCCAGTCCTGCGACAAATCATTTCTCGGTTCCCGCTGAATTTCACTCCCAGTTGAACTTGTGGACAAGGCGTCCCAGGGGAAGTATAGCAGCACCTGATTAGCAGCTTTTTTGTAGTCTCTTTGCTTCTGCTTTACTTATATTACTTCTTCATTTATCGCCTTCGTTGATATCCAGGATCTTTCGTTACTTGCGAAAGAAGTTCATCGGCTTCGTGATCAACTTATGGAACGAGACGAAGAAATATCGGAGTTGAAGTCTGAGCGGAATAATACCAGGGTGAGTAAATACATCTGTTTTTTAATATTTAGAACAGTGGAAGAATGTGCGCTTACATTATTTCTTACCTTCGGTTTTAGTTGCTACTTGAACACCTTGAGTGCTTAGTTGCTCGTCACGAACGTTCTCTTCGAATGACGGTAGTCAAACGCCAAATCAATAGTCCCGGCGGCGTTAGCTCTGAGGTCGAGGTGCTGAAGGCATTGAAGTCGTTGTTCGAGCATCACAAGGCTCTGGATGAACGCGTTCGTGAGCGCCTCCGGGCTGCTCTGGATAGGGGTGCCCAATTGGAAGAGGAGGTTCGCTGTTCTGCAGCTGACCGGGCTGCCCTAAGGGAACAGCTTGCAGCCGCTTTGGCTGGAGTGGCAGCCGCCGCAGCGGCAGCTCAACAGCGACATGAACAAACAAGTGGGGGTGAGTTAGAAGGTATGTAGCTTTGATGCTTTGCGCTCCGCTAGTTTCCTCCCTCAATCTCCTCTAATCACTTTATTTAACTGAATTCAGTCGATCCTCACCCGCTGTTGCCGTCATCATCGGTGATGAATTTCACATTCGTATCTACATTCATATTCACCCTTCGTATGCGGTTAGAAATAAATGGATCGCTTTGGCTTTCTGGCGCTTTGCGATCTGCTTATCAAAACGTAACATTATGGTTTTAAGTTTGATATCCACGGTTTTTTTACCTCGATATGGATCACCGTGCATCCATCCGGCAAGAATTTGTCTTGCTTCTCTCATGTTTATCTGTTTAAACAAGCGTGATGGTTACAGGCAGTTGTTGCTAAACGATTAATATACAGCACTTTGGCTCATATGTGAGTGGTACACATTGCTTTCAATAATAGTGTGGTATGTGTCCTTTCGTCCAGGTAGGCATTACTGCAAACCCGTAAGACCCTTACGTGAGTTCGAGTTGCCCGCCTTTTCGTTTGTTTTGTCGTAGTTATTGTTGTGGAGCGCATTCAATCGCGCCCCAAACACGCTCATTCCCAGTATCCGTTAGCTCAGGACAAGTTCAACAACCCGAGTTAGAGCGAATCGGTGAAGCGAATGCACGTACATTCGTCCTATGCAGAGTGGGTTATTTTGCTCCCTAGCTATTTTTTAGCATGAACTAACAACATGCAGCTCCTTTGGAACGGATTCAGTTGACTGGTGACTGTCTTTTACCTTTACTCAAAAGCATTAAATCCGCAACTGCTCATGCCCACTTGTGAGCCATGTACATAGTTTCATTAGTAGCAAGTGAGCTGCCTCATCCTTGCGAAATGTACCTTTCCAGGTGTTCAACAACGCACCGGGAAAGACGAAGTTCTTGTCAACGGGGACAATACCAACACTGCCTCTCTTCCTCCCGGTGGTCCACCGATTTCTGTGAGGGACAGCAATGAGGATGGTAGTGGCAGTACCACTTCAGAAACAACCGGACAGAAATCGGCTGCGTCTTATGCTGCAGCAGCCGCAGCTGCCGCTGCTAGCGCGGTGGCTGCGGAACGTAAATTGGTCGAAGTAACTGCACGGTCTCACGATCTGGAAGCTTCGGTTGCAGGCCTGCAAAAAGAGGTGGCGCGATCGAACGAGCAGGTAAGTGCGTTGGCCGCTTTTCGAACTCGGTGTTTTCCACACTTAAGGGTGCTGTTTATATGAACTTTCAATTGTGTCGCTCACTACGGCGAAGTATTCACCAGTGCTTCGATCCGTTCTGATGCGCTCAGTCCACCAAAACCGTCTCCACATTCTTGAGTTTCGAATAGATTTTAGTACCTCATATAATCTCCGATGAAGCGGCGTGTCTCAGAGATGGTATGTAATAAGCGGGAAATTCAGCTGGATTCAATTGAGTCTACCTGATGAGCCCCAAGAAGAGCTGTTGGGAATTTCCAGCAACCTTACGAGTAGCGTATTTCGTCCATCTAATGTATTACGACGTCTTAAATATCGTACTGAATAAAACACGAAGCGGTCTGGTGCAGCACATTCCTTTGAGTAAGGACTTCATAAACGAGAGATTCAGCCAAGTTCCATGTGAGTATCCCTTCAAAACTAAATTCGTGTGCAAATGAGTGTTTGCCGAAATCTGTCCAATTTGAGTTCAAGTAGAACGTAAAGTTTACGGGAATTCCAGGTCTGCGCCTACCTGGTGAGCTCCAAGAAAGGCGAAACTGGTCGTAGCCATCGAAGAGTTTCCAGCAAACTTGCGAGTCATGTGTTACGTCTAGGAGAAAGGGTTCGTTCGGTACACTTTTGATCCTTACCAAGCAATTACCTGGTTACCCACGGGTAAGCCGGTTTACTCCAGAGGTGGCCAGGAACCTACATGATTTTCATCTCCATTGTCTCCATTCAGTAATCATATATTCTGATTGGGTTTCAAACTTTGTTGGAAATTTCACGGGGCTTAGCCAGCAGAATGTCTTTTGATGATACTTCCTTCTGGGGATGGTCCCCAGAGTACTGGGGAGTACTGTGTGAGAAAATAGTCTGGCAATATTTGTAGGATGCCAGCCAATCAGAATACGAAGCATTGCGAACCCCAGTAAGACCAATCAAACTACGTTTCAGCTAATCTCTAAGCAACTAGTCATTTTGCGGAAATTAACCCTTTAGAAACCACGTAAGCGCAAACAAAAGTAGAGGAACTACCCACGCGAACGCACACTGATGACGTTTCCTCTCATGATTGCGGAGCCTTTGCCATCAGTCCCCAAGGTCGACAAACGGTCCACAGCCACCAAATGGTCTCTCTGCAGTCTGCGCACAAACACACGATCACATTTTCGTTCGCTTGTTGGTTTTGCGGATTTCTAGGTTTTCTGTTAGTTTCTGNTTCTGAACCGCTGGACCACTCCATGAAGTAGCATCTTTTGTCGGTCCGTTGAATATCCGACTCCTGTTTCTCTCTGAGTATAGGCCATCTTATAGAGGCAGTTGTCGTAATCTACTTCTGGATTATGATGGGATGATTTTGTGAAACGTGGTTGTGGGGTCGCTGGTGAGTGGCAGTCCGGAAAGTCTGAGACCACTCCTAAGTGATTTGGCCATGCAAAACCAGGGTTGCAGTTATTGGTAGTAATCAGATTTCGGCCTCTTCAAAATATCGCAGTATTTTGAATTGTCGGACGACCACGATTTAATTGGGTCAGACTTCTTAAAAGTCATCTTGCTCATCTTACTATTCTACATTATCACAGATAATGAATTGATGATTTTTTATTATTCTATTCATCATACCCATGTTTCAAGCCAGGAAGCTTTAGCGATAAAATTTAATCACAAAATGAATTTTTGCATGCAGTATGACCCCAAACAACCGTCATTTGAGATTCTGTCGTGGTGCTCTTAGGCATGACTTCACGGGCCATACGTACCGTACACAAACAATACAACGTGTGGGACAGTGTCGCCTACGTGAAATCCGGTATGAAAATCTAAAGATATCAACTTGCGAAGTTCTAATTTCAACTATTCTCACGTGCATCCTGATAGCGAGGGTGGAGTTGGCTTCCCACATACGGAATACTCCAATGCTGCTCTCTGTGCCAGTTCAAATTGTTCTAAACTGCCATTTGATTCTGTGCTGCTCCACAGTTCATTGGTACAAGTTGGTTCCTGTAATACTTTGACGACGTTGGATAAAACTGCCGTCCACTGTCTATGATAGCTGAACAGCTGCTTAGGTTTTGGTGTCGTCGGTTTGGCATGTAGGACTACTCAGGTCATTGTTCGCCGAATCAGACACTTCGATACTAATAGCTCTTTACTGGACCAAATCTTTCACATACCTGGATACAGTTCGAACCTACAGTTGTAAACTTTTAAGCAAACTCACAAGTTGGAATAAAAGGCGCTTCGCGACTATATCGACTTGTTTATGGATGAACACGAACTGATGACTCTCAGAGGCAAACTTTATATGATGGAGCGCCTTTATAACACACCTTCCAGCAGTTCAATCGAGTTCTATGTAAAGAGAGTCTACTCTATTTCTTAAAAGCTTCAGGCAAGTTAAAACTGACCTCCAGACACGTTAGTCGATGTAGATCTGTTAATATCTGTGAGTCAGTGAAATCAACTTTGCGGAATGGCTTCTTGAGGATGAGATCATTCTAAGATCAATAGCTGGGTCCCTCATCAGCTACGGTCTGGTGTGCGATTCTCACAATCAGAGGCTAAGGTCCCCCTTTCCTGTGGTGACTTCTGTGGGGAGTTATTGTAGCAGGTTTTTTACACTTGAAAAAATGTGTCCCACACCATTTATGCTGTTAGAACGTGAGCTTTACACGAAACTCGGTCTGGACGCGGCTCAACTCCGTACCACACTCGTTCATCAAATTAACTGGGCGAACAAGATTCAGATCAAGTGTGTATATCCGTGTATGAACCGGATAACGGTAGACAGATTTTTGTGACCTGCCTTTCCTGGTTCATCATAGGATAAATTCCATTCGTACCGCCCATTAGTATCATTAGCCTTGCTATGCCGTGAATCAGCTAAGCTTCACTGTGTGCTTTTAGCGAAAGCGAGCAATAGGCAAGGATATTCCTGAGCTGATTATCGAAAACCTCAGCCTGTGATGCGTTTTGCCCTAATCGTTCTCTTCCGGTGGCCGTATGAAAAAGTCAAGTGAACGAGCTTCCTTCCGTACTTTACTAACTACTCAATGTCAGTCCCGGTCATTACGATACGAGGACATGCGGAAACTGGAAATACTCATTGACACGGAAGGGTCATACCTAATATGAGAGGGGTTGACCAATGTGGTAGCCTAACACCATTGTCATGATATATCAAAACAGGCTTTTGGACATCCACTAACCTTGGCTTCAATCATTGCGGAACATTCTCTGTAAACTAGACGATGAATCTGTGAAGTTCCTTATCCCGGACTCGTGTCCGGCTTGGCAGTTGGATACCTGGTCTTTTGCCGTCAAATCAGACGCCAACCACATTGCTCTCCAGTCCACCTATTGTACCTTGCGTTTGGAACGAAATAGGGCCATCCATTATGTAAATCTTATCCGCAGCGTGTCTAGCCTGGATAACAACAATAGTCTATTATGGAGTCAAAATAAGTAACTGAATTTTCGGGAATATATTCGGCTTCTGTCTTTGTACTAAACTCCAGATTTCAGCCGAAGGCGTTGTAATCACCAAGACTGATGTTTGACAATACACAGCACACACGTCTGGCTTCTGACACTCCAAATTCGATTGCCTAGTTCATTTTCACTAGCTGCTCAAAGGTCACACACAACGTGTTACCGAATCACTCCGAATACGGCCGCGAGTACAGTATTTGTCGATCTCAAAATGTTTTTGTAGACGTCTGTGCGATAATGTTTCTACTGAATTCCTGGAGAGCGTATTTTAATCCCATCATGCGCATCACTTGCAGTGACGCAAACCCGGAGATGCCGATGTACTTACCAGAACTTGCTGTTACAGGATGACACCAGTGATTTCACGATGATCCGAATGAGGTACTAGGCGTTACCTATTGCCAATTACCAGACATTGCTATTCATATGAAGGTCTGTCATGACAGCCCGAGTCACTAACCGTTTTGATGTGCTATCAATATGCAGAGTGGTATTGAAGACATTTTTGTTCATCCGTATCACAGGTTGTATGATAAAGCGTCACCCAATATCTCCGTAAACTGCAATTGACATGTGCTCTGTTCGTCTTTGGATTTAGTTTCCACTTCAAGCACACCAAGCGATACGCGTGTTTTGAAATTTGAAAATATTGGTTGTGTAAGAACACAACCGACTATATGTTGAGTGTTTAATACATTCGCTCTTTTGCTCTACTCACTAGGACAAAAAGTTTGTAACGAATCTTCTCAGGTATCTTTAAATGGGTGGGAAGTTAATGCTGGATATAATGTTTACCTGCTATCAACTCCCGCTAAATCCATACCAATCATTCACTCAGATTACTTCCGCTGAAGTGACCATTTCCAGCTAAATCAATGACTATTCTTTTTTTAGAAGTCCGGCGCAAGTTACGCATCGTTTATTTTGATGACAGAGTAGATTGACTGTTCGCTTTTAAAAAACCAACCTGAGTAGTTTTCCGTGTTCATATTGGTTCGCACAATTGGTATTAGGTCGAAGGAACGCTTGGGATCGCTTAAAATTGTGTGTATGTGCCCACTGGCAGGGTGATTCCAAAAATAAGTCAAGACAGCAACGGATCTGTTCATCCATCGTAGATGCAGCCCACGGTGCACTTCACGCGGCGCAGCGTGACTAACATTACTGCCAGGTGCAATTTCATGTCACGTGCCATCGGGTGCGCCCGCTAGTATGTTACGCCTGGGCAGTGATCAGAACACTTTAACTCGACGCCTTGTTCCCCCATCATTTATCAACAACTCCACACTACTCGCGCTTGATGTCACATTGTGAATATGCCGAATTTAGACCGAGCGTACCTAACGACCATAATCATATAGGTTTCGGCACCAGCCTTAACGCTGCTCATGATTGCTTATCACGCAAAATAGCGTAGTGCACCAACTGACCCATAGACACGGTTGTGGATTCATTTCGCATCATGCCAGACTTTCCAGGTAGAAGGTGATTCTTTTGAGTAGGTACTACCGTCCAACTTACAGGAGCCCTATGTGGTTCGCCACTTCAAGCCCCGGGGTTGATTTTCACGCTATCAGACGGCTAAAATAGTTCGTCGTAAATTGAAAAGATGATTAGCGAAGGAAACTTTTCACCCGTATTCCGACACCGTGAAATCCAAAACTTTCTGTTTGTCTTCTTACGTGGGTCTTCTGATGTCTGGATCCGCTCTTCCCTGTGATTTCACGCCCACGGGATAAGAAAGCGCATTGGGTCAATGGAAGGGTTTGTCAGCCTCGTGTAGCAAAACGAGACAGTTGTCTAGACGTAATACACTACAAGCGGGCCATCATAAACGAGAGATTAAGCTGGATTCAGCTAGTCTCCTGTCAAAACCAAATTCATGTGCAAATGAGAGTATTTGTCGGAACCCGCTGTGCTAACCCCCCAGTAATTAGGCATCTCCCGAACACCAACCTCACCGATAGACCGAATCCAGTTCGGATTGTTGTCGTCCGAAACAACTCTGTTCTTCGTCGCCTAGCGGCGAAAAGACTGGACCTTACCGTGTGTGACAGTAATGCGCACCTCAGCGATCCATTGAGATATACTGGGGGGGTCCCCGCGACACTCACAGTCTCTCATACGAGCTTGGTCAATGGTTAGTCTGATGAACACAGTCTCCTGGCCCTCCAGGTTGGGGGGATTTGGACATGTGTGGCGACGTGTTCTGTAAAAATGGTAATGTACTTGCATTTCCAGCCCAACACCAGTGCCTTGTGGTTAGGCTTTTGAGCCAAATGCTTTGGTTGAGGATCCTAATCGTCCTTCTGTCTGGGTATGGACGCCCTGACAGCATCCTAGCCCACGTACAACCGTGACACTTACAATTTCTATCCAGGTTGCCTGAGTGAATGTCTAGAGGTGCATGCACCTCGTAATGATTGAAGTAAACTAGCTCTAAGTCCCTTCCCTGTCCACCTTTATTCTTTTCTTCACAATTGGGCTATCAAATGAATCATGGTTGTACGGCAGTGAAGCACCGATGTTGAACACTGATGTCACGCTGTCGATGATGATGATGATGATGATGCCTAGTGGCTGAGACCACAACCAGCATACATCTAGACCTCTGATCCAGAAAGCTACTTCTATCATTAGCCTCACAGATATGGTGTTAATGGACAGAACTTTAACGTTTCCTTTCCTCCTCCAACCTCCCGTCGTGTCCGCTCACTCCCTTTGCTCATTATGGATCTCGGTTTGACAACCTGCCCCGACTTTGCGTCCACACCTCAGTCCTACGAACAATCGTAACATTCGTCCTCCTCCCCCATATGCGACCATGTCTCTTGGTTATTCTCGCACGCTTTGTTTACCGAGTTGTCCCTTTCTATTTAATATGATGACTGCATGTAGGATAATGGTATCGTAAAACCATAAAATCAAGACAGAATCAAGTCATTCACGTTTGCTTGATATACGTAAGTATAAGACCGAGTTAACAGAAACTCTATATTATGAATCTATTCACCAAGTTGAAAGTGTCATTAAGGGATACTGAGCTGCAATCCCAGTAGGATCTGACTTTCCCATTAACGGAACCAGCAACACATGAAGCATCCATTTGTTTCGCCAGTAGGTGGGCACATGAGACAGAAAGTCATCACAAAGTTAAACAGCACTCATTCGAATCCGATTGCGCATATATGGCCCACGGATTTGTGTAAGCAATAATGTTAAACAGTTCTCGATAGAATATACTGCACTCCATCCAGTAAGTAACATTTTTCTGAAAGCAAAATACACCGATACCTTGGATTGTTGCCCGGATGAACCCTGAGGCAGCCTTCGTGGGGCGAGCTTTGATACGCTCTAACCTACAACTAATGAGCGGCGTTTTAATTAACACAAAGCTCCGTCGGGTGTAAATTAACGAGTCGTGTGAGCAAACACAACATGCGTGGAGTTGTGTCCTCGCGGGGTCATCGCTCGATGCTTTTGCTTGATCGAGGTGTCATCTAGTACATGTGTGATTTGAAATTTCGGTCACTTCGTACATCATCTAGTGTGTGTAGTGATTGAATGCCTGTCCGGTTGAAACAGCTTCTGACCAGAGCGTCTGAAGAGCTTGGTTAAACGAGCTTTCTCTTTGTAACAACTCCGGATATCGAAGATGTTTTGATGGAGATGATAATAATCACTAGCTTTTTCTATGTGATACACATCTTCGCAGACCTCGTGCTTTGCTTGGGTTTCCGGATTTTGAACTCCCCAGATCGATTGAGACTCCCTGGTTTGTGTGGACGTTATGTGGAGTTGGAGTAAAACTCGTCGTGTACATCCTAAACTGAAAAACTATGAGACACTATGCAGGTGTAAGTTTTAGTTGTCAGTCTTCATTGTGCCGGCCAAGCCAAGAATAGAGGGGACTTTGAGTGTCCATCGATGGATTAGTGTATTATGATGTCGTTTCAGGAACACACGAACATGACCAATAATTAATTACTTTCGTACATCAAACATGAGGATGGCAGGAGCCTCTTGGGAACCAGAGGTATCTGCCTGTGATACCAGTTCGGAAGACAGCATATCTGGACAGCTTCTTGTAGCCTGAAAAGGCACCTCATATTTGATGTCGCGTAAACAGAACCCTCCTAATCTTCCGAGACTAATTCTAACGGGGTTGTTTTTACGAAACTTCATCCAATCACCCAGAGAGCAATGGGGTTCTTTGCTCCTCGTCAATGCCCTGCATGTCTGAAATGTTTTCTTGTCAGTTGTTTATCTCATAACGGGGGCCAGGATGTCGTCAAGTTTTGCATAGCTGTTCATAATGCCAAATAAGTGGTACCATTTCTTGTGAAATTAGAAGTCCCACGAAGAGATCCACTTAGACCGTGCGGACAAAAGACGCCAATATAAGAAATGCCCTGGAGTCCCGCTGGAAGCTCGTTCAATTCGTTGTTACTGATATGGAACATCTGCACATCTAAGGTGAATGGCCGATTAGTTTTGACCATCATCTTACCCGCGTACTCACAGTCTTTATTAAAAATCTGCGTTCAGCGCTCCTCTGTATGCTCCGTCAGAACGGCGCAGCCGTTATTTTTATTTTTGTCATCTGCTGTGAGTAAGTTTTTGTAGCCAGTCGCCTTCAGCCATTTATCTGATCCGAGAACAGTGATTCTCGTTGTCGTCTTACAATTGTTAATCCACCAGCTCACGGCTGCATCGCCCTTGTTTAAGTCATTTCTCGTCATTTCCGCTGTATCCCCGGATGGGTTATCACCTAACACCATGCCATTTTCTGCCATTTGGCCTGAATAAGTAACATACAACCCACAAATGGACTGTGTGAGGTGCATAACTTGTGTTAAGTATATTTTTTTCCTAATTGCAGCGAACTGACAGTCTCCCTTGGGATTACATATGAGAGCGAGAAATATGTTTAGCTGAATACGTCATCTCGCCTTTAGGAAAGTAAGGTGTGTATCTTGACATACTTGCGTAGACGTTTTAATTCCAGCGGTTTTCTTTCCTGCTCGATACCATTGCCATCACCGAGTGTCTTAGAGCATAGTATTGTTTCACTTTCCCCGCATTATCCACTCTTTTAACGATCCCAGCGACCGCCGGAGAAAAATTTCGCTGTACTGTATGGATGGTGGTTGTTATATCCTGTAGCTCAACGAGTAACATCTAACTATGCTCAGCTAACAGTGACCAAAGATATAATTCACCGTTGGATTGCTACACGTAGCGTTCTCCTACTTTGTGTACTGAATCATCGTATCCTATTATTCCTGTATATCACGCAGAAAAATCCAACTAGGCTCAGTTGTCGACCAAAATGATTCAAGCCATACCCAGGCTAGTTCGCTGGTATCGTGGAACAAAGCAGCTGCGGTTTTTCTTATCGGTCGCATAGCATGACCTCTAACCAATAGATCTAATTACCTGGCGCAGGACATGACCTTTGAGAATTACGGTACCCCCTCAATAGAGAACCTTCAAAGGGGATCGTTTTTCTCGAGAGGCCGGCGTCATGTCCCTCCCGAAAGGAGATTCAGAGCCTATTTCTGCAATGGGAAGATTAATGCATATGAGCTATCATAGAGTATTTCCTATACGGTTCTGGGTACGATTGCTTGCGAAGACAACGGCCATTCTGGAAAAAGCTCCGTGGCTACAAACTTGTCCTTTCCAATGATATTTCCCAATGGGGCAAGTACTGTGTTAAGCCCGCTCTCCAAAAGATCGACCACAATTTGCGCCACAGGTCGGCAATCCTCGTCACATCACAGCCAAACATCCTCGGTGGATTTTTTGAAGTCGAACTTCTTTGTTGAACCTTTTATGGGTGTTTTGCCGTTACACTGTGCAATACAGTTCTGTTATTCCTGAAGACTAAAGGGTCCTAATGTCTCACTCTTACCGTTTTAGTCTCATTTTGTAAAGGTTAGGTCTAAACAAATTTATAAATCATCACATGCCTGTTTCGGTTATCAGGTGTTGACCAAGGGTCCATTGGAAGATATCTGTTTATTCGCTACTGGTCTGTCTGGCCAAATAAGTTTGTCTGTTATGCAACACTGGCTGAACCAACATTTAGTTGGTCCGAATAAAGTGTCAGAATAAATTTCTCCAAGTCGATTGCAAGTACAACTAGTGTAAGCGCGAAAGCCAAACAGCCATAGCTACCTAGATCACATGAAACTGTACAATTGCTGAAGCCAGGTGAACACCGGTCCCTATGTTGATATCTTTCCTGGAGATGCCACCCAGCAGATCTTTCACCGTTTTCGGTCAACCACGATCTTGTGACTGAATCCCCAGGCGAAGCAACCCCACCTCCTCATGGCCCTTCCTGTGAGGTTACTGACTCCGTATTGTCCACTGGTCAGACACCACCTTTAAATGTTACGTTTAAAAATGTATCCTTCATTCCTCGCCTATTCCCCTCTAGTTTTTCCCTATCAGTATTGTGTGTGATACTTCATACCGTTTTATTTATTGTAGGCGCTCCGGTGGCAACGCGAATTGCGCGAGTCAGAGGTTCAGCGAGAGGACCAAGAGGCGCGAATTAACAGCCTGGAACAGCGCTATCTGGCTACCCAACGAGAAGCCACAAGTGCGTTGGATCGCTTGAGCCGAGCTCAGTCGGATCTGATCAGTCGCGAAGTTGAGTTGAAACAGGTAAGCTAGCGAATTTCGTTTCATATGATGGACGTTCAATTGTTTGTTGATAATTAAGTTGAGACATCTACTCTCGGTCTACAGCTACCTCACACACTACCCAGATGAAGTTTACGTCATCGTTCTATGGATTCACTGATCTTTTATAGGTAGCACAACAACAACGATCTGTTCAAGTCTCCTTGACTCGCAAATGTGCATCAGTTTCAATCAGTACTTCAAGTTGACATAACAGCATCCCACATTCGAATGTGTTCATTTTGGCTAGTCCGACAGTTCTGCTTTCCAGGCCTCAAATGTTGTATCTTCTCATTATCTTCTTCAATTCTAGGCGCAAGATCAAGCCAAATCGCTCGCTGCGGAAGCGCAAACGCTGAAGGCCGAAGTGGCTAGATTGCAGATTGAAAAGTCGACATCTGATAAGGGGTGTATGTCAAACGGGGACAAAAATGACTCGCAGATCAGCGAATCGTCGGATTCGGACGGCAACGCTGGTCGTAAATTCCAAGATGCAGCTGCCGTAGCCGAAGAAGTCACTGAGGAATTGAAATCCAAACTAAGTCAAGCAGAAGAACGGATTCATGAGATGGAATCGGGCATGAAGGAAACGCAAGCAGAACTACAACGTGCCAGACAACGAGAACGAATAAACGAAGATCACAGCTCACGTCTAACTGCAACGGTATGAGTTTTTGTCGGTTGCTTTTGAATTATAGCAGTCAGCTGGTCGATACGCAACAAGTCTAGTATTCACCGGTTCACTGGTTTCACGCAAAGTAACAATGTGCCTGGGCTGCATGCCAGACATTCCGCTTCGCAAGCTGTCATTTCGGTGACCAGTGATTCTGGCTCCGTCTCTATTATGCTTGACCGGAACGTAGACAATAAAATGACGCTGATTACCCTATCTAAACACAGAAATTCTGTGTCAGCTTATGGAAGCACGAGTCTTTCTAACTAGTCTTTTGCAACACCTTCCCTCAAGTTAACTCCATAATTCACCCTTAAGCATTGAGTGACTTTGAAACGACCGGTTTCTAATAACTTTAAATAGTGAGTGTTCTTATCTTTAAGGTTCCGACAAATCTTTTTGCTCGCGACCCTCCGGATTAGACTAAGATATCCTATGCTGAATTACGAGCCAACAGCTGATCAACTGTCCAATCTCCCTTGCTGTCAAACATGAACTACCAGTCTTTTCAGCACCGCAGAAGCGATTAATTTTATTGACACCTTCAGATAGGGGCTTATTTCGTACCATATCCTCTTCCGGTAGTCCCGCTGTTTTTTCTCAATATCGGCTGCTGATTCTCGTCAGATTTTTATCTGTATTCACACAAAGGACCTTGGCAGTCTCGAAGGAGCAATCAACAGAAATGGGTGGGCAAAGTCTGTCGCTGTGAAACCCCTTGCAATATATTAGCGAATATACACTCATTTGCAAACTAATTTGGTTCTTTCGAGAGACTCACCTGGAACCCAGCTGAATCTCTCGTTTATGCTGTTCTCAGGCGGATTTTCAGCAACCTTATGAGTAGTACATTACAAAGATATACCCTTGCAATAGAGTTTGGTGCCACTTCTCCCCCTACCAAAGTTAATTTCACCAGTGTTTTGTGAATGTTGAACCGCAACGTTTCATGCGGTTACTTATGACTGTGCATCCTACTTATCGAATCTAACGCATGAAATTGTGCATGTATATGTGGGAATGCAAAATAACTCAGTTTCTTCCAACTGTCTGTTTTTTTATAAAAAAAAAATCCACCAAACTGAAAGTTTGTGGTAAAGTAAACCGTTGGGCAACGAAACAAAAACCCCACCCCTCAACAACCAATTTAGCAACTTAGCAATCTGGGCCACTTCCTCTGCACCATGTTTACAAGCTGGGAACAGTCGAGACAAAATGCACGCTTGAGAAATGCGAAAACAGGACGTTTTATTTAGCTGAAAGAAAGTTCACATTTCATGTATGGGAATGTTAAACCGTCCGTCTCGGTAGCGTACGAATCGTACTTGAATTTCTTATGTTCCGACTCCAGTGTATAGGAGCGCATTTGTGAAGCACCCAAGGTGTTGCCTCCTTATGACTACCAGAAGTGCAGTTTGTGTAAATAACGAGTGAGTACACGCAAATCGTGTCGGTGGTAGAATAAATACTGTTGTGTAGCCTGGATACTACTCAGCTGTACTACAATTGGATTCGGAGCATTCCTAATCAGTGGGTTTGAATGTGAAGTTCCGGGCCTAGTCCGCGTGGATGTATCCCATTTCGGCGAACATCAGCGCTTGACGTAGGTTTATCCTTCGACACAGAATATGTTCAATCGAAGAACCACAGAAGAAACAATAGTTTCGATAAACACAGGCTGATATGCTTCAAAATACACTCTTCATTTCCACTTCGCTACTTCATCTGTGCATTTTTCGGAAGATCATAGTGCCTTATGTCTTCAGTCACGTGGCAGGCGCGTTTCGAGCCTCCTCCATTCAGCATTTGCAATATTTTCTACATTTTATCATGACTGAAACATGACGCAAATATGCGGTCCGCAGACTAAGCTTTAGTTGTCACTCTGTGCTCGTGAATCCTGGTGTGCGCAGTCACCATTCAATCGATTAGTAATGTAGCTGCTAGTCAGTCACGTGAACCTCAGCTCGTCTCAGTTTCTGACAAACGAAAATATTTTCCCCTCACACCTGTACTGCCTGTTTATCCATGACTAACGAAATATTTCCCGACACAAATGATCGTACGATATTTTGCGAAGAAATGGCGGTAGTATTTTGAAACGTAAAGTGGCGCGTGACACTGGCACCCCTTTGCCTAATATGATGCTATATGACGTTCATTTTCACCTGTGATGGTCAACTTTGTTATATGATTACGACACAGTTGTCTGGTCAGCCACGAGGATCAAACACTTTTTTCTCAGTTATCAATATTCCAGTCACTTTATTTGTTCGGGGAACTTGTAAAACGGAGAATGCCAATGTAAGTTTGTCCGTAATCGCAGTCTAGTTTGGGGTACTGATCGCACAGGCATTTGTTGGAGGCGCGGTGACCACTTTCCAGGCCGTTATTTCCAATGTCGTGCGAGACGGACAATCAGAGTATTCAGTCTTCTGTAACTTTTGAGTCCGTGTCTCGCCGGACGATCTTGTCTACTGCTTAGGGCCGCCCAAACCTGGGCAACTTATGGAGCCTGAAAGGATGACCTTCCCGGAGTTTAAGAATTCCATAGAAAGCGTTTAGTAAGATGCGCGGTTTAAGAATATACACATGAGCACCAACACGCTTCCATACTCTATTGAATACGTCTCATCTCAGCCACTTTCAGAGCGTCAGTGCTGCCTAGGCGGGTGTTCGTTTTTCGTTCCACCAGTGTATGGCGGTTAACTCCAACCGTGTTATGAGCGAAACCCAACTCTCAGTACTGACCGAGGTTATTTTGAGTAGAAATCCCTCAGGATAATCATACTGTTTATGTGTTCCACAGAACCGTCAACAGCTGCGTCAGGTGAAAGGTACCGCTTCACTTCAGCTGCATGTTTTTTCTCATGATGTACTCCTTTTTGGAGGAAGTGGGTTTGGTCCGTGGTATTCTAGTTTTAGCAGACACGTAAGCAGCTTCCCCTAATACTAGTCTATTTCATTGACTTAACATTTGAACAGAAATCAGTAGTGTATGCTGTACATCAACCAAAGCACCACTTTTTGAGTTCATCTGTTGTTTGGGCTGTTTTACTGGCAGATCTGGAACCCATTTGTCATCAGTTCGAAAAGCAAACCCCACCTTAATGATCGAAGTGTTGTAGTGGTGTATCTTGGTAAGGATACTAGTTAGCAAATGCTAGGTTCCATTGATCTGATTGCTGTTGGAGGATTAGACTTGTGGGCCTCTTTTTGAAAACCTGATAGCTGGGATCGCCAACAGGCGCTGAAGTTACTCATTCTATCAGATTATCCGATTCATCGGCTCGAGTGATTGAGGTGTAATAAACTCCGTAATATTTGTTTCGGCCTACCACTTGACCTTTTCCCAGTTGGGTCCTTCTTTTGAAACTTTTCTAATCTTTCTAGGTGGATAAGCTTCTACTGGAATCCAACGAACGTTTGCAAACTCATCTGCGAGAGAAAATGGCGGCTCTAGAGGAGAAGAACCAACTTAACACCGAGCTGGATCGTCTGCGACGCGTTCTTGATTCTTGCCAAGCTGAGAGAGATCGGGCGATTGCTGATGTGGAACGTTTAAGGCGACAAGTTATGGGCACTACACCTACTTCTTCACACGGTCAGTTTTGATTTTCGTCATTTGTATCGAGATGCAGTATTTCTCTCACTGGACACCGTCTTCAAGAGGTATCCCAGTATCTCTTGGATATGGGGTTTCCTCTTGATAGGTGCGACAAGGAATAGTTAGGCCCATCAGTATCTGTTTCCTGGATCTTCGATTGATTGCCTAGCTAGATCCCTCAAGGCAAGGAGCTAGTTGCCTATGGTTTATTCACGGAGGTTAGCTTGGACATCACTATTTGAATGCTTCCGTCCACTGAATGTTGTTCTATAGCGTAAATTTTCTCCGCGTAACCCGCTCTTACCTGTCTGTAGATGGCTCGCTTCCGTCGACCATATGTCGTGGACCTAAAAATCGGACCGCCATTCGACCGGATCAGGGAGGAACTACTAGCTGGGAGGATGGAAACTGGGACAAAACACCGGTGCAGGTAAGCTTTCATTTTAATCCCTGTCTGGCTGTTGTCACGCCTTTTCCTAGTTGGCCTGACTGTTTTTCCCCCCTAGATGTGAGGCAGTGTAACTTTGTTAAGCTTTAATTTCATCTAGACCCCACCTATGAGTCATTCACGACTATCACTAAGTGCATGATAGTTGGCTTCGTGTTGCGACACCCCACTGTCCACTCACCTTGATACTTGTAGACGCCATGGTAGAGAACACTGTGGTCTTAGTTTCCTTTTCCTAAATAAATCTGTCTGAGAGATTCTCAGTGTGTAGGTAGCGTTGCATTTTCTTTTGCTCAACAGAAAAACAAGTACATGATGTTGTCTTTACGATGCACAATGTTTTCCTATATCTGATCCGTCTCACTGCACTTCTTCCCCAGAAGAGATCGCCGCAGCCCAATTTCCTGAAATTTGTGAATTCTGAAGCACCAAATCCCAACAAAGACTATTCAAATGGTTTCAGAAACGCTACTTCTTTGAACACTCTAAGTGAATGCTTTATGCTTTGCTATCAAGCATTACTTGCCAGTCACAGGCAGGCCGATTTACTCCCAAGGCGGCCAGGGACCTAACATGATTTTTATCTCCACGGTGTCCATTCGGGGACCATATGAAAAGACTGAAATGAACGATATCTTTTGATCGGGTTTCAAACTTTGTTGCTAATTTCACTGAGTTTAGTGTTATATCTAAAAGAAAGAAAGCGTTCAGCTGTAACACCCTTCCGGTGCCTAGCTGCCATGCTACCCGAAGGAAGCACGAGGGCTGGGATACTGCCAGGTTTCCCAAGCCTAGACAGGGGAAGTCGAGTGGCGGAGGTCGGATTCGAACCACGGACCCTCCGGTCAGTAAATTTCGGCTCTAACCACTTGGGCCATCGGTGGTATCTGCTGCTGAATAGCTCCAGTGCATAATGCCGGAAAAAAGACTCACAGAAGGTAACACAACAGCTATATTCCGAACAAACGAGTGCGAAAGCGTGAGTGCATGCGAGTGCGAATGTACAACGGTCTCAAGCTATTCATCGGAGAGCACTGTCTTGACTTGGTCCAATGCTGACGCACGCGTCTGGCTCTGGTACGAGGCTGTGACGCGCTGCATGCAAGCTGAGTGGGCTCTCTCAGAACTTTCCATTTCAGTATGCGCAGAATACAAACAGGCTGTTTGAGTGGTAAACCTAATGGTCGACTGTGATATTTCTTCTAGGAAGTGCATCTATCGGACCGACCAACACTGTTGTCTCGCATGGTATTTGTTGCTGGACTTATCTAGTCCTTCGTTATCACGAATATGTTAGATGAGTTTTTTGCTAGTAATGTACACCCAAATCACTCAGTAGTAGTCATCCGTGAGAACCTTATAAAAGGAACTAATGTGAAATAGACTAACAATGAATGACATTGTTTTCAGTCGAATTTCGCGTTTTTCTGGGCGGAAGGCTCATTTTCTGCCATACTTTTCGTTTTTATTTTCCGTGAAGCTCCACGCTACTCGAAAACACGGACTTCTCACAGTAATCTCCTATGAAAGACCCCTCCGAGGATAGGTCGCTTCCTTGGAGAGGCCCACAGGTCTCTCTCGGGGAAACTACCATATTGATTGTTTTCCGGTAATGTTCTGATGACGCACTGTTTGTTTTGCCCCTTCCCAATGGATGATTCCTTCCTGTATATTCCGGGCTCATGGATATGACTTCTACCGCGTACTTTCAGCTGATGCCATCGGGACGCAAGGTTCATCTCACCCCTTGGTACAACATCGTTGTGCGCTAACCACTTGTCGCTCTCGAGAAATACTTAGTCATGCGAATTTTTAGTGGATTCGATTTCGTACGTGAGATAGGCGAATTCACATCTTGTATACCAATGTCCCGTTTGACGCTTGCTTCTATCCTATCACATTGTGGTCGGCAAAAGCCCTTAAGTGATTGCCTAATCCATAACTCTCATTATTCGAATTCACTAGGTTGACGATGGAGAATTCGATGAGTTGGGTACAACCGGTAGCATGACGCGCAACAGAAGACGACAACAAACTGACTGGTTGGACAATGATGTTTTGGAGACCCCCAGCCAGAGACACGGTTCAGAACTGATGGCCAATGCAACCGATGCTCAAAGACTAGCGCTGATGCTACAGGAACAGCTAGATGCAATCAACAAAGAGATTAAGCTCATTCAAGTAAGTCTATTGGTTAGTTTGATTCTGTTCTGCCACCTACCGACGGGTATAATTGCACCGGTGTTCTGCAGATTTTTCGGCATCCATGGTACTTTATCTGCTTCCACTTAAGCTCTTTGCATTACGACGACACACTTTCCTCTTTGCTCCGATCACACCGGTTATTAAGAAACGGATGACGTTTTTTGCCATATTGCTCGTCTCATCTAGATGAAAACAGTTTCTACACCGGTAGAACACTTTGCGTTGGGCCACCACCTCGCATTGTCACTGCCCCTGAGGATACTTAGTCATGTGGTCTCAAGGGAAGTCATTTTCTAGCGCAATGACTTGGTGTCACGATTCAGCCTATTCGGCTACAGTTACACTAATTGACGACCCTTCGCCTCGATTTGGAATTATGTAGCCAAAGAGAGTTGACAGGTGTGTTGACCTTTTCTAAACGTCCCGAACGTAAGGTGGTAATCATTTCCGGAAATCCTGGCTCGAACGCGCCCAACATTTTGTTGGTTGACGCAACCATGTGCACTTTACGTCAATGAGGCTTCATCACTTGACTGATCAGACTGCCCCTTCGTCGATAACATTTCTTTGGTGCCATAAATCGACCCGGTTACTCTAGCATAGAAAAATATTTGAATGATACGTGCTATCTGGACAAACTATTGGTGCAACCTATGGAAGTTTGTGTACTTTTATAGTCGTAATCCGTTAGGTCGTTCTTCAGGAACCGACCGCACCTCTTCGTACCAGTTAATAAAAAGTAGAAGTGGTCATTTCTCTCCCCCAGTTTTTTAATTGTCTTTCTCACTCGGGTATTGTTTTGAATAACTGTGCTTTGCATTTTTCGATTTTTTGGTCCACTTTATGTGGTGGACTGACGTAGCTAGTGTCGCTGTGTCGCACACTAATCCTTGGCACGTGTAGAGGCCAAAGTGCAATCACATTCCTTTTTCGTTTGTGTGCTGTTAGCGTCAACCGACATCTGTGGCGTTATTGTCTTCAGTTTTTTCGGATTGTCTGGTTTTATGAGGCACTTTTTGATGTTTGCTTGGGGTTAAAACCTCTGTGGTTCTGGGTTGTGATTGTAAGTTGTTGGTTTCAGCACCGTTGATTTTGTCTGTTCCTAGCCATACACCGAGGTGAGCAATTAGTGATGACCAGATACCCCAATTGAAAAGGGGACAATTCCACAGACCATACATAAATTAGCACAAACCTCAAGAAAGATGAACGCCAACTCAGCCTCTGAATAATCGAGTTATATTCATTGGGGAAAACGAATGAAAGGTAAACACAAGAGTCCCAAAGGTAAAATGATTTCAAGGGAACGAAGGCAAGAATAGTTCAGACCTACAGCTTGTGTTATTATTTTGATAAGGATGACTGGACGTTCAAAGATGAGTGGAACTTATAGGCAATGAAACGGATACAGCAGACTTCGATGAATGAATGTAAAACTTGGGCGCTTTTTCGGAAGATAGGATGGCCAATTGTTATCAACCGTCGATACCTGCGCGACGTTGTACGCATGTATTGGGAGTGCTGTCTTTTAAACGCTGAACTACGCCGTGTCATATCTAGAAACTTGTCGAACAACAGTTTGCTGTAACTATACCGGTTGCGCTGACTAGATCGTGTGTTAAGCATACCAAAAGACTGTTTACCCGAGAAGGGTTCATTAAACCCACCATCACTGAAATGGAAGAAATCCTCATGAGGGTAAGATCTATTGTGACAACGAACTGCCAAAGTTCTGAGAAGATTTAAAGACGACAGTTGGGAAGTCTCACCGATATGATGAACCCGCGAAAGGGTGATGCTGGTCAACTCACGCGTTCGTCTTCTTAAATTTCATTTCATTTCCATCGTTCTCACTCATACGACTTACGATTGAAAAATAGGACAGACTGACAGACGACTGAAGTATGGAGGAGAATGAAGAGGGCTAAAAGTTGTGGCTTGCCGCTGTGGTGAAAGTCCAAAGGCTCGACTTGCGGTGGCTACTTTCGACTGCCGAGCTTCCTTCTGTCCACTGGATTTACTCTGACAAGCGGTTATTACCGGCTTCAACCAAAACAACTTTTGCTCAGGGAAAAGTATCTCTCAATGCCTCCGCTATCTGTATTTCTTAATCAGCCTCAGGCACGCTTGGTTATGCCATTTAGGAACCAATTACCTATCTGTTTCGAAAAACAGGGTGAATCAGCATCCGCCAGCACACGTAGTTCCTTCAGTAAGCCTGGAGGATCTTCCCAGTGACACTGTTCCGGAGGCAAATTCTAAAAATGAGCGAGAGGATTTCGCCAGGATACCATGTGAGAGCCTCCCACACACCTTGCAACCATCGGCACAGCATGACAAGAAAACCCTCACTGACTCCTGATCGCTGTTCCTCACAGCTCTCGGACAGCAGAATGCTATCGCGGGTTTTGTTCTTCACTCAACGCGATCGCACAACCGATCGAATTCGTTTAGCTTGTTCAACAGCTGGACGCTGTGTAGTCTATGAATAGTAGGTTGCATAGACGAAGATTGTTGAAACTGGAAACTAAGATGAATGAGATGACCTTCAAACCGACTTGATAATATGCCATCGTAACTTGATTTTGCATTGCACCCGTCAATTTTCTCGTGCATGGCATCATAGTACTCGTTCTTGTAAAAACTTGAGTGGGTGAATATAACGCTTGCTCCATGTCAAACAACGAGCCAACGCTAGGCCAGCTAGGAATCAAAACAGAGGTGCAGTGAATAATGCGGAGTTGCTTAGGCGTCGTTTGTCAGAACTAGCACCATTTTTCTAAGTGACTGCGAACTTACCAGCGAACCCCGGAAAAGGGACTAGGCGCATCCATCAGTTGCGTTGAATGTAACTGACTGTAGGTGGTCACCTGCTTCACAGTCCCTCTTCACTCCGCTAAATGGTGCGACTACTTTAATCCGAGACAATAGGCAGCGAGCTTTCTTTCATCCACCATCGTTTCCCGGAGTGAGTTGTTTTGTAGTCCGCTGTTCATAGTTTAGCACGTTCCAGCCAAATCCAAGCGTCACGATTGATCGCAATTCGAAAAAACGATACCTTTAATTTATCGAATCACCCGATGCTGATTATGACTGTGATAGGTTTTCCGCTGACAGATTGATAATTGGTTTGATATAGGTCGAGATGGCTCAGTGGTTAGAGTGCGAATTTACTGATCGGGAGGTCCTTGGCTCGAACCCAACCTCTACCTCTCGATTTCTCCTGTTTGGGCAACCTGGTAGTATTCCAGCCCTTGTGCTCTCTTCGAGTGGAATGGCAGGTAGGCACCAAAAGGATGTTACAGTTGAGCGACTTTTTATTTGATAATAAAAAGGCGAGATTCCGGCTAAACATAGAACGACACTTGTAAAAATAATAGATTCAAACTCTTCGGCGCTTTTTGGAGCGAGATAGCCCAGTGATTGGAGCGCGAATTTTTGAGGAAGATCCCTGGTCTGAACCCTACCTCTGCCTCTCGACTTCTCCTGCCTGGCAGTATCCCAGCCCTCGTGCTTCCTTCAACTGGCATGGCAGCTAGGCACCGAAAGGATGTTACAGCTAAATGATTTTTTAAGCTGTTGGAGATGTGCTTGGGGATGTGTTTTTTATCCACGCCCAGAGTATCCTTCCATTTTCCCTTACCAAACCGCAATTGAAGGTATACTTACGAATTGACTTTGTGACTACCTGTAGAAGTGGTTTGACCAGTGGTACTGGCATATTGCTGGTTTTTAGCAGCAAACTTGGGCGTGCAGCCTTACGTGTGCCTGAGTGCTGCGTTGACGATCTTCATCACGCTGTTGACAGCAACGTCCTTACATGACGTGAGCAAAAAACGAACACTTGTCTGTACCCAATTCCATCTGGGCTCGAGGCCAATGAAGACAATGTGAAGCTTTCGGGATAATTATTTTCCTCAGTATGACCATAAGGATCTGCACTTCGCTGGCGAGTGTGTTGGGTGTACGGATTGGCCTGATTTTATGAAACGAAATCCAAAGCAATGAGGGTCTTGTTGTACTGGGCAAAAATTGTGAAATTTCTGGAACCGTTCAGTCAGGAAAGACGATAAACCAAGCAGCTACCTCCATCTTGGGGTCCGAGCTACCAAGATGTCTAGGAAAAAGAGCTAGCTGAATCCCGCCTAGAGACTCGAAACAGAGCCTATTTTGGGTTCATATTCCGAATTCTCTAAACATGTGTCTCTTCTAATACGCTGATTTTGTCTGGTTACAATGTGACCGGTACGTAAGTTCGTTGATTGGTATGATGCGAAATTGCACAGTTGATTGCTAAACCCGTTTTGGCAACTCCCAAAAACATGCACTGCTGTGTGTCCGAATGCGCCGAATTTCACCAGCACATTTTGACTTTTTTCTCAGGATTTTCACTGTTCGCCTATTTTTAATCCCAGTAATCCCCCCGTGGATTCTCCATTAGAAGTTCAGTGCCACTTTTCTGGTCTGATATTTCATCTTAATTCGAAGCTGAAGTACGGGTAAGTGAAACTCACCTAACCAATTCGCTGAATTCTCTTATCATTATGTACGGCCAAGGCAAACTATGTTGCTCACTTCACAGAAATGTTTGTACTTTTAGGAAGAAAAACAACACGCCGAACATTGGGTTGAAGAATTAGAATCCCGTGTTTGTGGAACAGGTTTACCTGACCCGGGACTCAACGATGGCAAAGGAGGTTTGCTACCTGATTCGTCACCTTACTCAGCTGGGTTAAACTCTTCATTGACACCGAATAGTGTGATGCCAAGTCTGTTGCCTGGATTTGGTCCTACAGGCTGGTCCCCTCCACCTTCGCCCTTGACGGCCCGATCAAAAACATTTTGGAGTTCTGGCGGAAGCTTCAGTCCCTCGTCTGTCTTACAGTCAGGGACCATGACGACCAGTGACGTACCAGTTTCAAGATCCCTTGCACAGTATCAGTCGCTTGATGTTCGCCGCACTCCACAGCAGTCACAATATATGCAACGGTCTGCAGCTTACATGCCCCACGGTAGTCAGTTTGACCAACAGAGGTCTGTATCTGCTGCAGGGAGGCCTATTCACCAGGTACAGTTCCCTTAAGATGTTTCTGTTAGTCATTTTTGCTGAAATGTTTGTCAGTATTTCAGCCTTCTGGAATACAATACTTGCCACTTTGTATCCTACTGATGAGGTATCACTGTCAAAGAACTTAGCCTCTCACAGATGGTGCTTAATCGCTTTCGGTATTTCACGTTTGTCTATTGCCGACCAATCAAGTAAACGTGTCGCAAAAAACGACTATGACTCCCCCCACCCTTAGCATGAATCTCGCAGCCTCTAATTTCTTCGCAGTGCTTGATGGTCTTGAGTTACATTTGTAATGTACAGTCGTTACTTGTTCTCGTACGTGTGATCCTATAACTGTTGTGGTTGATTGTCATTGTCCTGTGTCCTGATGAGATGAAGTCTCCAGTTCTGTTTATTCATATGTTGTCTGACCCTCTGTGTACCAACCACATCTATTCTTACCTGCACGTTCGCACGCTAACCTTGATGCACGTGGAACGCCAACAGGCACTTGGTCCTATCCCGAGCTCAACACCGAATTCATATATGTACACACAACCGTCATCTTCGTCTAACAATGTCAATGGCTCATCTGTGAATGGTACGGCCTCAGCGACTCAGCCACGTGGTGTCACACTTGCTGATGCTATTGCTGGTATGGATGTTTTGGAAAAGATGCAGAAGGAGCGTTCAATTCAACAAAAACAGCTCAATCAAAGGCTTTCACAACAGCTGTTGTGCAACTACGAAGATCCATATGAGTTCGGTCCAGATGAACTCCTTCCCCCGGGGGATGGTGTTCTATGGGATTCTGTGAGTAAAGTTTGTTCAATCATGGCCGCTGCCCAAATCACCCGTTTTGGTTCTTGATATCGTCTTTACTCACCAGCGTCAACCTTAGAACCACTTTGTGTTTTCATATTCTACGGTCCTTCTGAAGTACAGTGTTGTTTTTGGCCCGTATCGATTGTTGTCCTCTTCTTGCTGGTGACATCTTTCTGTCGTATGCTTGTATGGACATGCAGTTTTAGGTCTGCCTTTACAAATAGGTTGTCGGATTTGTCCCCGTACAACTTGATCCCCTGTTAGCTATCCTCATAGATGCGCGATAATCAAAAGGTAAATTCCTCTTGCTTGGCTATTTAAATTCAGCCATGAGTTCAGCCATTTTCATTAGCTGAAACGGTTTTGAAAGCCGGTACTAACGTGTTCTCTGGTAGAGCGGTTTTCACTTTTTCCACTCACTACTGGTTTCATCCTACCTGGGGCTCATCAGGTGGTGTAGTCCCCGAGTTTTCTGCTCAGACACTGTGTGCTCGCCTGATAAGCCCTAAGAAGAGCGAGACCCTACTGGATTGTCCAAGGGTTTTCAGCAAACTTTAAGTAGTGTTTCGTCGAAATGATAGGTAGACCATTTCTGGTGCCGTTTCAGTTTATAGGGTCCGAGGTGGACTCGGTGCGTGTTATTAGTAGACACTGCAAGACAATTAGGGATTATATATATAT